GTAGATGAGGAGTGTCCAGGTCAAACGTGAGACGTCCTGGTGGATCCTGTCAGGGGGCTCGCGGCTGAGGTGGCTTCACCTGTGCCAAGCGCTCACACACGCCCCTCCCCGGACCCCGCCCGTGTATCCCAGACCTCTGACCTCCAGGCCCCTCCGAAGCGCCCCCTGCAGTGCCCGCTTCCTCCACGGCCTCGGGCCCCGGGCCCCAGGCCTCTCCCGCCTTTGCAGCCTGTTGTCCTCTGCACCTGCCTCTGGCCGTCGTCCTTCAGCCACCAAGTCACTGATGTCGCGTTCCTTGCCCCTTGGCGTTCCAGTCGGTGAATCCAGTTGGTCTCTTCTTTCTTTTGTGATTACTTTCTGCGTCCTGTCTAAGGACTCTCGACCTAACTCAAGTTCACAAAGGTCTCTTGCTGTTTCTCTTCTGTTTCTTCCGGTGCTTTAGTTTCAGCGTTGGCGTTAGTCCGTGTTCCCGTCTGGAGCAAGGTTCCGTGTCGGGACAGCGGCGGGCGTGAGTGCTCCTCTCGCCAGTGGACCTCCCGTCGTTTCTCCCGTCGGCGAAAGGGAAATTCTACAGAGGCCCCCGCACCCCGGTGGCGGGGCCTCATTTGACCTTCTTGGGCCGCAGGTTGTTGGGGTGGCCACACTTCTCCTCATGGTGGTTGGCAGCGCGGGGGTGCAGGCAGCGTAGCACTTGTGGCGGGTCATCTTGTCGCAGGTGTGCCCGGGGCGAGCTGGGGCGCCATGGGGCCGCCCGCCAACGAAGCCCGCGTGCAGGCTGGTCTGAGAGGGCGGCCGTCCTCGCCCGTTCTCCCGCCAAGAGGGAACTCCGCTGCCAGCACCGTTTCTGGACGAAGACCTTTCCCACTGTGTTGCCTGCACTTTGGTCAAAAATCAGTTATCCTTTATGTGCGGGTTCATTTCTGGACTCTCGCCCAGCCGCTGGTCTGTCTGTCTGTCTTTGTGCTGATGCCATGCTCTTCGCTTGCTGTTGCTTTGTAGCAGGTCTTGAAATCGAGGACCGGTTGCCTCTAGCTGTATGTTTCACTTTCAGAGTGGTTTTGGGCAGCCTGGGTTCTTTGCATTTCCATATGGCTGTTAGAATCGGCTTCTCAATTTCTATAAAAAAAACACGCCTGATGGGACTTGCATTGGGATTGCATCGAATCTATAGATAAACTTGGGGGAGAATTGACTTAATAATGTGAAGTCTTCTGTCCCATGAATGTGATCAGTTTTAAATTTTCTCTCAGCAACATTTTGTTTGTTTCCCCAGAGTATATAGATCTTTTAAAACAAACTTTATGTATATAAATACGTGTTTTAATTGTTTCCCGACTGGCCACTTTGCTTCATAATCGGTGTTAAATTAGGCTCCCATTCCACACCCACTTAAAGTGTCAAGAGAGTTGGGGGACAGTGCCATTCCCATCCAAATAATGAGGACGAGCCCAATAACCTGCCGATGGAGTGGGGAGCCGTCTGCCCAGGAAGCAGCAGCTGGCAGTCCGAGGCGGGCCGTCTGGCGGCCTTGCGTGCGTTTGGTTGGGAAGTGATTAGCGCGCTCCCGTCCCTGCTTGGCAGTGCCTGTGTCTACTTAGACGTGGCTCGTAGGGTTTCGTTCTCTTCAGCCCATTGTGACATTTGGGCCATTTTAACTGATCAGGAGTAGCACGGTTATAAACGCCTTCTTGTGCTTTAAAATGGGTTCAGTTTGGATGTGCATTTGTGAAAAACAAACTAAATGTCATAAAACTATTTTCAGCTGTGCTTTGAACCTATCACAGGATCTCAAACTTGGTAGCTACTCGGAGGTTTGAATATTTGCCGCATTTTAAACGCATTGTGCAGAGGCGTGTGTGAGACCCTGCGGGTGCTTGTGCAGGGGACAGAGGCTTCACGGGGCTGGATTTGCTGTGTCACCCAGGAAGTGTGGGCAGGAAGGGGTTCAGTCAGAAGGAACAGCCAGTGCGGAGAACCTACAGGAATGAGCAGGGCGCCATCTGGGTGCGTGGTAAGGTGCGGGTTTACAGCAGAGCAGGGACGAAGAGAAATACAGCCAGAAAGTCCATCTGAGATTGGTTGTGGAGAACGTGTACCTAATGAAGCAAATGCGAGCTGTCTTCTAAGAAATTGTCCAGTGACGGAGGTTTTTTGAGCGGGGATAAACATAATCCTCAGATTTTTCAGCTAGTTCGTTTGAAATTCTTACTGAATTGGGGAAGTCGTAGTACTGGAAACCGTTTAGTAGTATATTCTCTTAAGGCAAAACAACGACGCGGGGCCGTGAGGCTGGTGGGCAGCACAGATGTTTGCGAGGCTTTGGAGTAAGAGTCAGTAGTTCTTGAGTTATTTTTCGATCTTCAGAGGAGCCCATAAACTTGGTTCACAGAACATGTTTGCTGAATTCTCTTCTGAGAGAAGGGGACACACAGGCTCTGCACCCCGAGGCGTCGTGGCCGGGGGCGCTTAGCGTCGGCAGGGGTTTGACGGGGAGAGTTAGCTGCAGCGGCGTAGGGAGAGGAACTGGCCGTTCTCACCGTACTTGGTAACGAACGGGCTGCGTAAGCTGTTGCACCCGAGAGGGAAGGGCCGCTGATGTGTGGCTTCCTGAGTGTGTGCCTGGCGGTCAGCCGAGTGGCTATTTTTAAGAAAAACTGTTCGTGGGCTTAAATTCTGACGTCTACATTAAAGTGTCTTTGTTACAATATTCTGAATTTGCTTCTATCAAGTGCAGCTCTGAAATGGGTCAGTTTTAAGTGCCCGTCCCATAACACTTGGTGGTATTGCTCGCTCTGTTGGTTTGTGGCAGTTGTGTTTTATGTGTGCTGTGACTTGAAAATGTAGGGGGTTTCTGTTGTGACCTGTGCCTCCCAGCTCTGATGTTAGTGTGTCGAGGACCAGCTGTTGGCTCACTCAGTTCCCCACGGGTAGCGCGGGGCCGGGCTGTCCCTGGTGGTCAGGTGTGCGGGGCAGGTCGCTTTCCTCCATCTCCTCTGTCCTTGCCGTAACTGCCCTTTGGGAAAGAGAACAGGAAGCCAGTGAGTTCATGTGACAGAGGCTGTAAGGAAGGTATAAGCAGTCCCTGAACACAAAGTGAAAATTCATAGGCAGCCGGGACCCATTGAACAGCCTGACCAGTTCCTCAGCGTTTACAGACTTGGAGCACACGTGGGAAGCAGATCGCTGCACTGATTTGACGCCGTACTGTTTAGCCGTCTCACATTTTGTTCATGTTGTAATATTATGAACATTAGAGAACTTTCTACACTGCATTTTACCGTAAACATGTAATCGTAAGGAAGCTCCATCGAAGTGAATAACGATCGCTGTGCGATGCCTAAAAATGAAAGCCTATTAAATACAAATTCTGTTGCCGTGTGACACAATAATCACTTTCTCAGGAATATGAAGTCTTGATGAAGGAGTCAAAAAATGATATGTTTTCTGTGTTTCAGAATGTTATTTACTATATTTTTTACATCTTATGACTACAACTATTTCTTTTTTAAACATTTTTATTACATGCATAAAAAAGCAGAAGGAAGGAAAAGTGGAATGCGCGGTAGGAGAGAGATGACGCTACGTGCTGAGACGGGATTTCTGCTGCGTAGGGCTCAGGGGGCACGAGGTCAGCGAGGCGCCCTCACTGCCTGACGCTTAGCGGTGACACGCAACCCCGGGGGTGTGAGTGCGCAGCTTGGCCTGACCCAGGGAATGATAATTAAAATGGACATTCTCTTGTGGCTGTTTTCTAGCTGTTAATAGACATGTTCTTATCAATTTTGGCACAATCTTAAGATTTATTGCACACATAATTCTAGAGAATGTTGCTATTTTATAACATAATATGAATGAAAGGAGCTGCCCCCTAAAGTAGCTCCAGCCCTTATGCGTTTATTATATAATTGAGAACATGGAAACTATGACGCCAGGTATTTACCAGTGTGTACAAAGCTTGTCGATGTCCTCTAGGAACGTTTTGGGGACTGACTTGGTCCTGTTGGAACAGCTGCTGTAAGAGGCGTTTAGGAAATCAGGTCCTGCAGGAAGCTGAGTGTGGTCTAGAGTCCGAGGAGCGACTGGCGGTGTCGGGAACAGGCTCACCTCCTGTCCCGTTAGCTTCGGAGTGAACCGAGTGCAAGAGAATTGACCTTTCCCCCAGTTAACACAGTGGTCACAGAAGTGTACAGGGCCCCACGGGCTGTCGCTGGTCCTAGGAAGGAGACCAGTGGGGGCGGGGGGGAAGGAGTCCGCCTCACCGGGAGGGAAGGGAAGGGGGAGATGAGAGGGGCGAAGGATCTGCGCACACGGAGAGAGAGAGGAACCCCGTGTCTCAGATGGCTTCTAAAGCTTCATCTGCTCTGTGTGATACTAACCTTATTTTATGTAGATGTCATCAATTCGTACATGATTATTGTACTCTAGATATTATTCCAGGTATTTTAAGAATTTACGCACTGTCACGAGGAGGTATCAATTTTTGAAACAATGCTTTAGACCTTAGTTTTCAGTCCTGACTTGTGTCTGTAAAGCTACTGGTGGGGATGATGTCATATATAATTCTCTTTGTTTCTTTTTTCCTGTTATCTGCCAATCAGTGCCATTCCCAGTCTTAGTAAGGATTTGATGTTTCCACGTTACTAGTTTTAGTCATCAGATTGTTTTATTTTGTGATATTCTAGCCATCAGTAACTTGACCCACACCTGGAGTAATGCAGGCCGGGAAGAGCCTCCCCAAGGCAGGCCGTCCTTCCCACACCCCACATGGTTTTCACTGGGGGACAGTTATTTGGATTTGGGAGCCGACTATGAGAAGGTGATTGTTAGTGGGTCTTCTGAAATAAGTTCATTTGGAAATTATAAGTATAGATAGATTTCTAAAGTATTCTTTCTCCAGAAAGAAGTTATTTCTAAAGTATTATTTATCAATTGAAAGTTTAACTTTGGCGTGCTACTGTTTCTTTGAGTTGATTATATTTCTTTTTTTTTTTTTTTTTAAGGTAAAGTGCAAGTTAAGAGTTCAGACATACAAGTTGGAGACCTCATCGTAGTGGAAAAGGTTGATGCATTTTTACTATATTTTAGACACGTGTACGCGACTTGTTAACATTTAGCCTGATTGCGAGTAACTTTTGAATATGAAGGAAATTGTTTGAGGCATTTATTTTAAATCTTAACATTTCTGTGTGAGATTTGCTGTACCTAAAGAAGAACGTAGATTTTTTTGTATAGTCTGTTTTGCTAAAGTACATTTCAGCGTGTGTAGGCGAAGTCATATTTTGCCTAATGTAAGATGTGTGTTAACTGCTTAATGTGGCATTATCTGAATTATTTCATTTGACTAAAGAACTATATTAGTTGGAACCTATTTATAGAAGGATACATTTCAGTTCCTAGAACTTGCTTTTACAGATAGATATACACGTAATTATTGGATATTCTTATGGTTTAAAACTTAAGGAAAGGTACATGGAAGTCAAAGAGGATTAGAAAGAGAGGACTTAGGTGAGTCTGGGAAGAAGCCGTTGCCGGAGGACGCGGGGGTCGGGCCACACACCGCCCGGCTTCGGGCGGCCTGAGGTGCTGGCGGGCCACCTGGAGAAGTGCTTCCCCAGGTCGTCCTCCCCGGGGAACGGCGGCTGGAAGGACAGTCTTTTTCTTTTCTTTTCTTTTCTTTTTTTAAGGCTTAAGAACAAGTTCTTAAAAAATATTGAATGGCAAATTTTAAAAGGCCTCTTATAGAGGAGTTTGAGCCCTTGGTGCTAACTGGCATCCAGGCCACATGGGAACGTCCCCACCCCGAGCCACCTCGTGGAGATATTTAGTTCAAGGACATCTTCCTCCTCAGTATGAAAGTGGCCTGCATCTTGTTACATTATACTGTACAGAGTGGTTTGGGGTATGTTGTTCGATCTTACCAAAATGGATAAAATTAGACATTGATTTGCAATTCATTTGCATAATATTTGTGCGTATGGATACTGTAAGTTACCAACTCGATCAATTACTAGATTGCAGGTGGTTTCTGTTGTAAAACGCTCTCGTGAACATCCTTGTACGTTATATGCGTGTTTCTCTAGGACAAATGCTGACAACAGAGGTGGCCGAGCGTATGTTAGTCATCTAAATTTTGATGTGTTCTTTTTAAACACCAAAGTTTATTGCCTCACGGCTTCTGTGGTCAGCGATCTGGGTGAAGCTTAGCTGGGTCTCTTGGCCCCTCTCAAGACTGTGGTCAAGGTGTCAGCCAGGTGGCTGTCACCTTCAGGCTCCATGGGGCGGAGCGGATGCCAGCAGGCCCGGGCACCTTACTGGGCCCGGGCGCCTCGCTGGGCCCAGGCCTGGACCGTTCCTGGCCGTGTGGGCCACTGCACGGGCAGCTCACGGTGGGAAGGCGGAAGAGAACGTGACAGTCGCAGGCTTTGAGACCCGGTCCCTTCGCCTTCCTGTTTTCCGTCCGGCTTTGCAGAGGCTGCCCCAGTGTCCGCAGTGGCGTGTGGACCGAGATGGAGTCCGCGCGTCAGTGAGGGCCGTTCCGTCTTTTCATTCTTCCATCTTATTCCGCTCCCTCCTCTCCTGTTCACTCACTTCTCGCCTTTGCCGTCGAGTTCGACGCAGCGATGGCTCAGCTTCCCATTTGCCTTGTGTCCTCCCGTGTTCGCTGAGTGACTCGAAGCCGCCTTTGCCGCATTTTCAGTGGCCGTCACCGCTGTCATGGCGCGGATGTGCACGTGGGTGGACGTGGAAGGTGGCGCTCCAGGCCTGGTCTGCGGTTCCTCTTGGCATCTCTCGGAGGACCCCCGCAGGTGTATTCCCCGTCGGTGCGAGGGGCTGGGTGGGCGGCGTGGGCCTTCGTCGACGTCCAGGCAGGGGTTTGACGTTAGTGTGAAGACAGTTGCACGTCTGTGTTGGTGTTTGTCGTTTCAGTGCCGTGGTGGCTAGCCCGCGCGGACGACACTCCAGGAGTCGATGAGTGTTTCATGCAGGTACGGTCAGGTCGCAGCGTCACGTGTGTAGGGCAACGAAGGAAATCCCCAGTATCGTCTCCCAGCTTAACAAGGAAACCTAAGATGTAGCTAAAGTCTTAGACAGACATATCAATTCGAGTGTTATCACTGGAGGAACACGTCAAGTAGGGTAACTGTTTAGAACCGGACCTTCCAGAAGCTGAAGGTTACATCTCCGAAGCCTGGGCCGTTGCCGAGGCCCCTTGGGACAGAAGCGGAACTGGGATGCAAATTGGCACTGTCGTGAGGCGTCCCGCACTCGTCGTGGGGCCCAGAACTAACTCCAGCAGGAAGCTGTGTCTGCTGTGTTTTAGTAGCTGGATTGAAAGACTGTTTCTTTATTCTATTTTTCTGAGGTAATGCAGTTTAGTAAGTATTTTAAGCAACTTAATAAGTACTACAAAGTATATTTTAATACCCAGAACAAACACTACAAAAAATATGCAGATATATACAGTCTGAGATGCTAAAATGGAATGCTGAATAAACTAAATAATGCTAAATAAACTAAAATGGAATCCTAAAAAGGGGTCAGTGGGATGGAGGTATATTCGGCGGGCGGGGTAGGTGCTTTTTCTGGCCCAGTACCGTTGATGAGATTTTTCTGTTTCGGTTGTGTGTAGCTGTACTTCATTTGTTTGTCGTTACATAGTATGTTTTTTATCCATCCTACTGCTGATGAATATTTGGGTCGCTTCTAAGTTTTGCCATTAGGAATGGTGCTTCTGTGATGCCATGGCTCTTGGCTCACCTGCGTGCACATTGCTGTCACAGACATAGCTGGAGTGGAATTGCTGGGTTTGGGGTGTGGTATGTTCCATGTTAGTAGATAACCGCAAATGATTTTGCAAAGTGATGCCTCGGATTAACCCTACACTCCGATCAGCAGTGCATAAGCCTTCCCATTGCTTTACACGTGGCGAGCACATGGCACCGTCAGGCTTTATAAGTTAGCACTGGCGACGTGAATGTAGCGGTTGTGTTTGCGATGTGCATTTCCTTGAAGGCTGGTGAAGCCGGACCGCTCCTCTCCTCGTGTGGTTCTGGATATCTCCCTGATGTGGGAGGCGCCTGTTAAAAATCCCTTGCCGTTTTCCTTCTGAGGTATCCTTTCTTATCAGTTTTTAGGCGATTTTGTGTTCTGGATGGGTCGTCTTTCTATTGCAAATAGCTTTTCTTTCCTATGTGTTTTGTTGAATGGAAATCCTTAATTTTAACGAAGTCTACATTATTATACTTTTAACTAACAGTTTTTAAAAAATTTTTAGTGTTGGGGACAGTCTTCCCTACCAAAGTCCTGTGAAAGTATTCTCCATATCATGTTTTAGGACTTTTATTGTTTTGATTTCGACATTCAGAAGTCTAATTCATCTGGACTAGGTTTTTGTGTCTTGATCAAAGTAGAGGTCAGGCACGGCGTCCTGCCCTGCCCCCGGGGGTCTGATTTCCTGAGCCCTAGTTCCTGCAGAGACGCCGTGTGCCGTGTCCTCGTCCTGTCCTCGTGGGGCGCAGTTCCGTCTTTCTCGTGCCCCTGGCGTCCTTCTGTGTGCGGGCCTCTGTCTGCAGTCTCCGCCTTCACAGTGGCATGACCCTCTGTCTCGGCGGCCCGTATCTCGTCTTAGTTCCTCCAGTTTAATATTTGAGTTTGGCTGCGTGGTAGACTCAGCCTCCTTGTGTCTCGCATGCTTCTCGGTCGTTCTTGGCCTCTGCTCCCGCACGCACATCAGGAGTACCTTGTCAGTTCCCACAGCACGTGGTGAGGTTTGGGTTGGGTTTATGTTACACAGGGCAGTTTACGGACACTGGACGTCTCTGCCATACGTTCCAATTTCAAAACATGATACATTTTATTTAGGTTTTATTTAATTTCTCTTAGTAATGTTTTATCGGGTTTATTTAGAGGTCTTGCTGTCTTTTATTAGTTTTGTTCTGTTAGTTTTTTCTTATCACATCTGAAATGAGCATATTTGAAAAACTATTTACTTGCTGCTATTTGTTCCTGGTGTTTTCTGTGTCATTAAGTGCCGTTCTGATATTTGCTCGCATCCTCTGCTTTCTTTGGGGTTCATTGGCTGTTTTTTTCCTCCTGCTTTCAAGAGGATATTTAGCTCTTTGTGTATTTTTAGCCTCCCTTCTCTATTGTACGCGTTTAATTGTGTTTATTTTCCTCTTAACGTTTTCCTGACTTTGGCTGTGTTCCACACATATTGATGTGTTGAGTTTTTATTACCATTCAGTTAAAAATATTTTCTAATTTCCATTTTGATTTCTTCCTTGACCTAGGAGTTCTTTAGATCGTAACAATTGCCCTTCTTTGTTCACATTAGGAAGAAGTAGCTCTGTCCTACAACATGTTTTTTTCAGCTGTAACAACTTATATTTGTTTTTTTTGCTTACTGATTGACAAACAATCCATTTCTTAGATCATGTGTAGATAAATCTTTATGTATATCAAAAAACATAAGTAATCCATTAAGTATTCTTAGTTTTTCTATATATTTTATCTTTAGTGTGATATAGCTTTCCCAATGGATGGAAGTGTCAGTAATAATGATTAAATAAATGTATGAATAGTGACTTGTAAAATTTTTTATGTGCCGTACAATACTTTTGAGTCTTTTCTGCATTGTAAAAGAATATCTCTTCACATTTGTGGAATTCATTTTTGTTTGCTCAGTCATACATTTATTCATTCTATCAAAATTTATTACGTGTTTTATTTATGATATGCTCTGTTTTGTATTAGGCATTTGTATTAGGCATTTGTATTGGAAGAATGCTATCCTCACTTTTAGGGTCATTTAGACTAGCAGGGAGGATGTAAATTGTATAAGGCAGCCACTGCTATGTTGTATGTATGAGTCGAGGTGCAGTGGAGGCCACAGAAATGGCTGCTATTATTCAACGTTCTTCAGAAATGGAGCAGTTTTCAAGCCATCGCTAAACACCATTTATGTGGGTCCGTAACTGGGAAGAGCCGCAGAGGGCGAACTAAAATTTGAATCAAAGCAGTTCTAATATGAACTATAAATGTTAATCGCTTCAACCTAAATTTTTATCATAACATTTTGATTAGTTGTTTTTACTGGCTACTTCTACTTTGGAATGTAATTATGTTAATTTGTAAATGTGCATATAGATAATTAATATTTTATGTTACTCTCTACAGAATCAAAGAATTCCATCGGACATGGTGTTTCTTAGGACTTCAGAAAAAGCAGGTATTTTTATTTTTATTTACATTTGCTGATGATTTGGTATTTTGGCTATTTCATTTTCATTTTGAGAGGGAAAAGTTAAGTTTATTCTCAACAACTTTTCTTTGAATGGTAATACATTGAATTCATTAATTTATAAATTACATTTAACTGTTGATATTTAAAGCAGTGATTTTACTGTATGTGTTTAGTTTAAAAATATAATCCTTTTAGAACCTATATTAATTTCAGAAAACTATAGTCCTTCATATCAAACGACTGTTTTCATTCAAATCTTTGTTGATCTGAATAATTAAAGGACATTACTCAAAATTTGATTGCTGTTCTGCATTTGCAATTGTATTAATTCAGCAAACACTCACTCACCACTGACGATGTACCAGGCACACCTAGAGGCTTGGGACACAGGGGAGCGAAGCCAAGGTGCCCCTCAGGCCCGCCACCCGCTTCCTTGTGGGGGCGCCACACCGCCCGCCACGTGCCTTGGTTGTGCGCGTGCTGCGGGCGGCCGGGGACCAGGCGGAGTGCCTCGGCCAGTGGGAGTGGGAGTGGCTTCACGGAGACACTGGAGTCTACATGGCCTGGGCTTTTGACAGAGGAAGGGTAGAGGCGGGCGGCGAGGGGCGACGAGGTGGAAGCCTCTGTGGTCAGGGAGGAAGCGGAGCTGGAGCCCGGCGCCCTAAAACCCAGCTGCGTGCGCCCGCCCCTGGCACACGCGGCCTGGCCACCTGGGCACGCACGTCGCCGTCTCTGAGCGCTGGAGGTTTACCGAGGGACGTCCAGAGGTCTGCCTGGCACGTCTCACTGTCGAACAAATGACAGTATTTTTATAGGAAGCTCAGCATAGGATTGCTTCTTGTAGCGTGAAAGCTCTAGACAGGTCAGAGTTATGTTTTAGTGTTGTCGATTTAGTTTTCTTTCCATTTACAAACAGCATCTTTTTAAAGTGACATTGTAAGTCACGGAAAGAACGAGGCGATTTCTCCTTTACCAGCCGCAGTCACGCTCACTCGCACTGCCAGGTGGGGCTGCCGGTCACACAGGAGCTGGCCTCGCCGTGCAGCCGGGCGGCCTCCGTGCGCTTGGCACGGTCGCCGCCGCGTGGGGTTTGACAGGACTTTGTTTTACCAGCGGGGCAGAGGCAGGAAAGCCACGTGCCGTCCGTTGCCCTTTCCTCTTGGAAATACAGCGAGGGTCCTTTTCCTGTCCAGTTAGATGGGGCCGTGCGTGCCTTGAGGGCTGGCCGAGGAGGCTGGCCAAAAGTCGCCTGTGCCCCTGCCAGCCCCAGCCTTTACCTCTTGTTCAGTCACGACTAGGCCGTGACGAGGGTGACCTTGGAAGCCGCCTGTCAGCTTAGGTTCTGCAATGACCGTGTGGAACAGCCCACTCCCGTCCCTTACCAGATGGACTCGACGTGAGAGAGGGACGAGCGGCTCTCTAAGTCCCACGTTCCGACTTCACCTGGGGACAGGTAGTGCTCCCTCGGCGCCCACAGCACTGCAGCTGGGCAGGACGGCGTGTGGCCCCGCACAGGCACGTGGCCTGGAGGCCTCCAGGAATGTGCAGAGCTTGCTCCGGCTTTATGGCCACCTGAGGGAGCTGTGACAATCACCAATTGCCACTGATTGTTTCTGACACTTCCCTGGGAAAACAGTTTGCAGTGCATGAGCTCTGTGTCAGGTCAAGCCCTGCCTGTCAGGTGGTGACAGTCCTGTGGTCACGGAGTGTGGGAGCCCTGAGCCCAGTTCCGTCCCCCTCAGTGGCCCCTGGAGTGTGGGTTTTCTCGGCGCTGTGGAGCCGTGGGGGTGGGTGGGGTTAGGGAACGGGGCAGCTCCAAACATCAGCAGCTCCCTCGTAGTCACGCTCCGTTTCTTGAGTAAATGCACATCTTTGGTTATTTTCCAGAGTTCTGAACTAGTTGCTTTGACAGTCTGCGCTCGTGTTGTCGTCATAGTCATGGAGAAACGGGCTTTCAGGGACTTTTACACCTGCTCACACCGCCTGCTTATTTGTGACTTGTCTTTGTGTGTAAATATATTCAGTATGACCAATAGCAGAGATGTTTCCATTTGGAAGATGCTCTTATATTAATTGCCCTTTTAATAATTGCGATAGAAGTATATGTACCATGAAGAATATTATCCTAATATGGAGATGGTTTTAGGTAATTAACTTGAAAGAAATGGATTATATGGGTTGAGTTAGGAGATAAACGATGAAGAGAAGTCGGCATTTTAAAGCTGGAAGGTAGTTACAAATGTCCATTTTTCAGCGGAGGAATCCGAAGGCTGGAGACCGTAGATGCCTTGCAGCAGATGATATGACTAACAGCAGCTGTGGAGCTTCTCCGGCCTTCGTGGTCCCTTCGCCGTTTCGTTGTTGTGCTGTGGTAAGACAGCAAAACGGAAAAGGCGCGTCCGGCCACTGAGCTGCTCTCTGCTGTTTTCATTCCAGATTAATAGCATTAGGTCCAAATTGCTCTTTCAAAAACGTTTTTTCTTCTAATTTTGCTATGCGTTCTATTGTAGGGACAGTTACTTTGTAGTGTAATGATACTTAATATTTTGGAGATCATGTATTTCTTCGAGAATCTTAAAAATGATCCCTTGTTCTCCAGAAAAATGTGTGTGATATACACGTATGCTAAATTTTAGGTTGTTTTGCACATTTTCGGAAGGGTGTTAATGGACCTGAGTTTAGGACCCTGCTGTAGTCTTTTTTAGCCGACGACGGTTCTGTTACTTCCTCAGTTTTATTTTTTCTGTTAAATTTAAATTGTTGAAACAGTTACGACTTACTCATATGCAGATATTAAAATGTCATATTCCTATTTCATGCTGTTTTGCTTTTCTTTGTAAAATGAATCAAATAGCTTCCCAGCTGTATAAAATTTGTGTTATAACATTGCTTTTAGTCAAGGATTCTTAGCTTGGGAAATTCTGCTCTTATGAGTTTAATTATTTTGAGTGTTTTATCTCGTTGTCAGAAGTACACATATTTAGAATTTTTTGTGTGTCTTCAAATACTGTTTATGTTATTTTATTACTTTTCAGTTTTATTTTAGCGTCAGAAAAACCTGATAGTATATTGTCTGTTATAATAAAAACCTTTAAGCCCTGGGCAGCGTAAAAGTCCTAAATCTACGCTGCGCGTTCGAGCTTGGACAATAGCCGCTGGGCCTTTGTCAGTATAGCTCAGCGAGCCTCTTCAAGGTGTCATATTGACCGTGTATTAATACGGGGTGGGTATTCTATTGGGCCGTCAGCTGATTGTTTAGAATGTAAATGAAGCTGTTGATGGATCTGGTGACTGATGGCTTAAATTCCAATTAATCAATTGCTTCATCAGTTTCTTAATTCAGATCAAATATCTCCTGAATGCACACAGTTCTTTTAGTGGTATTAACAGAAATTAATGCTTGAGAACTAATTTTCATCAATCTCTTATAAATGCCAATATCTTTTTCACTTGTCTCTTCAGCGATGACATTATAGTTTAAGTGTTTGAGACGTATTACAATAGCGCGGCTGTCACTTGTCGGTGGGGCGAGGGGTAGGTAAATGACACTGGACTCATCCTCATTCTCTCTGCGGTACTGTTCATCTTGCCATCAGCTTAAAAATTTCATGCATGGTCATTAAGTCATATAAATGATTTAGAATTAAGTGTGAGGGCACGCCGTCCAGTTTCCCACTTCTCCGAGAGCTGCTGGCTTCACGAGCTGTGGCAGGCAGTCTCCTGCTAGTCCAGGGTAACTCAGTACGTTATGTGACAGACTCACGCGCTCCGCCTCTCAGCTTCCCGTCAGTGACTTTATCACCACCTGACGCGGCTCTCCTATGTGACACAGAGACTAGTTGGTCTTAATTTGATTGTCATTAAACCTGTCCTTTCCTGTCAACTCTTGTCAATTATACAAAATAAAGTCAAGTATTCATAAGAAGTCTGTAACAGGATATAAGCAGACCGATTTAATAATTCATCTCTGCTGAGCCTTAACCGGCATCAGCCGCAGCCAGTGCTTGCTGTTCAAAATTAGTAGCTGTAGTTCGCGGGAGACAAATCACGTCGGTCGTACGTCTGATCTTGCTGCAGTTCTCTCCGTCTCTGTCTCTCTCCCTGTCTCTGTTTTTAAGTCATATCAGGTCATGTGAGGTTAGTGATGTTAACTGCGACTGAAGACAAACAATATGTCAATTTCCTGTAAATTTCAAAAAAAAAAAAAAAAAGCCTGGAATTATTTAACGTCAAACATACCCTTTTTTTAAAAGAAAGGCAAGTATATCGTTTCCAGTTTTTAGCAAGTTTACAGAAATCCAGATAAGATAAGCTTTCACTTTTAGAAACAAAACGTTTGAAATTTAAGAGACCCCAGAGACTCCCACTCTTTCGCACAGGCGGGCCCAGGCTGGGGGGGTGGCCATTGGCGTGGCATCGCGTTCCAGTGTGTGTCAGATAGAGCCTGGAACCCAGGCCCTTTAAGCCCCCTTTCTGTTTTATTTTAGCATGCGCACACATGCGCGTACACACATGCGCGCACACGCGCACAGGCGTCCATATACTCAGATGGCCGTCTCAGATGTGTTGTAGTTGATAAGCTAGACGGCTGGAGAACCTCTCCACGGCGCTCAGTCCCGTGATGCCGTAGTAGGGTGAGCCGAGCCCAGCGGCTCCTGGTCGCGGCGGCCGCACTGTGGTGTGGGGTGGTTCAAAGGGTAAGATGGAACAGCGGGGGGTGGGGGTTCCGGGCACGACTCAGGCGCTGGACTGCTGGCGGCTGCGGGCGAGCAGAGCGCGTTGGCTGGCAGAGCCACGTTTGAGCAGGAGAGGGCGGCAGTCACGCGGGCCCCCCAGCCACCTTCACCATTTCCCCGAAGTTGAGGGAGAGTTAGCTGAATACCTGAGGACTCCCCGCTCACTGGCAGAGTCTAGTAGATTTTCCCCTGAATTCGACGGCACGACTCCAGAGTCGGTCTTAGCTTGCCGCGGTGCCCAGGAGAAGCTGCGTCAGGCGGCTTGAGCGCAGGGCAGCGTCGGGGCATGATGCGGGGGCCTCGCCTCCGCACCGCGGGCCTCGGGCCAGCATCAGCCCCGCTCCCACAGTGCTGGAGAACCAGCAGTGTCTCCAGAAGTTTCCAGGTGTCTCCTGGAGGGGGACGGATTGCCCCTGGCTGCAAACCACCGAGGACTTTATTATTCATTGACGAGAATCCCTACGGGAAGTCTCAAGTGTTCAGTTACGTGTCTTCTGAGAGTAATTGTTTTAGCATTTCCCAGTGAGGACAGACATCCTGCGGCATCTGAGCCGTGGCCTGTCCCCACTCCACGTAGGAGAAGTGCCTGCAGTGATGACAGTTCCTGCGGCTCCACGTTCTCACCGGCATTTGGTGTCGTCGAGTTTGGGCTTGTCACTGGGGTAGCAGCATGGCGGTATCTCACTGCCGTCTTAGCCAGAGTCTCCCTGAGCACACAGACGTGGAGCCTTGTCATGTGCTTTGCCATCTGTGTGTCGTCTTTGTTCAGAGTTACGTCTTTAAACGTTGTGTGCCCCAGAACGTAACCCAAGAATTATTTTAAATGCATTAACCTTTTAAATTATGTAGAAAACAAGATTTAGAGGTACCAACCAAAGTTACAATAATTCTAGGTGTTAGACTAATGATGACATTTTTCCTTTAAATGGAGTGTCGCTTAAATCACGTAGGAAGCGTTAAAGTGCGCTTCCGAACCATCGCTTCCATGACACTCACTAGCTTTTACAATCGCCCGGGCATCGACCTCTCCAGTCTGCTTCAGGTTACTGTCCAGTGACCTTTCCCTTCACCTGTGGGGCTCCCTTGAGCATCTCCTGCAGGGCTGGTCCAGCGGTCCAGACGCCTCGGCTTTTGTGTATCTGGGAATGTCTTGATTTCCCATTTACTTTTGAGGGACAGTTTTGCTGGATACAGGATGCTTGGTTTTCAGTTCTTTCTCTTTTAGCACTTTGACTGTATCAGCCCACTGCCTTCTGGCGCCCAGAGGGTCTGACGAGAAACCCGCAGACCCTCCTCCTGAGGGCCTCTCGTGTGCGATCCTTCTCCTCTCCTGTGCTGCCTTCCAGATTCTCTCTCCGTCTTTGCTTTTGCTGAAAGTTTGATTATAATGTGTCTCGGTGTGGGTGTCTGAGAGTTCATTGTATCTGGATTTCATTGGACCTCTTGGATGTGTATATTCATGTCTTCCACCAGATCTGGGGAGCTTTCAGCCATTATTTCTTCAGGTATTCTCTCGACCATTTCTCTCTCTTCTGGGACTCCCATGATGTGTGTGTTGGTCTGCTTGCTGGTGTCCTACAGGTTCCTTAGGCTCTGTTCACTTTTTCTTAAATCTTTTTTTTTCTTTCTGTTCCTCACACTGGGTCATTTTCAATGTCCTATTGTCAAGATAACCAATTCTGTCTTCTGCCTGCTCAAATCTGCCTTTGACTCCCTCTAATGAATTTTGTCTCACTGCAGTTATACTTCATAGACCTTGAATTTCTTTTTAATTAAAAAAATTTTTTTTCTTTTTATTGATACTTTCATTTTGTTCACACATTTTCTTGACTTTCTCCACATCTCTCTTTAGTTCTTCGGACATCTTTTGGATAGTCGCCGTCAGGTCTTGGTCAGGGACAGCATCCGTTGATTAATTTTTTCCTTTATATTGACCCTATTTTCCTATTTCTTTGTATGCTTTGTGGGTTTTTTGGGTTTTTTGTTTGGTTGGTTGGTTGATTTTTTGTCGAATACGTGGCATTTTAATCTAATAATGTGGTAACTCTAGAAACGAGGTTGTTCCTCAGCGGTGGGACAACGGTATAATAATAATAACGGCGGTGGAGTAAGACCCCTGAAATACTGCAGCTCGTCCTGTGTGCGCGTGCGCGTGCATGGACACACACATACCTAATTGTATCCTCCTGAGGATGGCAGGGTCCCTGCTGATTGTGTTGAAATGTGGGTAAGTAACAGTCAACACTTTCCACAGGGAGTGTTCCACCAGGCAACCAAACCAAACCCACAGAGCAGGAGCCTGTCCTTTACATTCTGGTCGAGCTAAATGATGGAAAGAATGGATAGCCGACTGCCTTCTGTGTCCTCTAGAGCAGGAGTCCCCAAGCCCCGGGGCCGTAGACCAGTACCGGTCTGTGGCCTGTTAGGAATGGGGCTGCACAGCAGGCGGTGAGCGGGGGGCGGGCATCTGAATTCGCAGTCGCTCCCTGGTGCTGGCATCACCACCTTAGCTTCACCTCAGGTCATCAGGCATTAGATTCTCATAGAAGCACTGGTCCCTGGTCCCAAAAAGGTTGGGGACCCCTGCCGTAGAGCTGTGGTAGGTGTAGGCATCAAGCACGACGGGCTGTTGACATCAAAGCAGACACTGGACACTGTGCCTCTGGCTGGACGCAGGCCAGCGTCGCTGGTCAGTGGAGTTCGAGCTGGGCACTGGGTGCAGGAGCTGGCGGTACCGGACCCACAAAGGGAAGGGGAGCCGGTTCGGCCTGGACCACAAGTGTTTAGCTAGCAACGTGCAGACCCGGGCCTTTCAGCAGACAAATCAGATGGGGGCGTGGGGAGGGCCCACAGGTGACGAGCGACGTTGACGCATACCCAGACAGGCGGAGCGCACCGTGGTGTCCAGGCGTGTACACTGGGTGATCGGCTGTGAAGCAGATAAAGGCAGTGCCGGTGCCCGTAGTCACAGTGCTGCTTTCCAGGGGGGCAGGGGGGTGTGTGGCCGCGGCACATGCAGGGTCCCCTCTGGGACGCGCAGCCCACACAGGTATCACTATGGTGCACACGCTCATGCAGCTCTGTGGCTCCTACTTTACAGTAAAATTTCTTAAAAAAATCAAAGATTGCCGGAAATCAGTTTGTGATTTAACTACTCTAATTTGTTATTTCCTCTCAGATGCTTTTATTTTGGGGGATTGCTTTTTTAAAGTTTGATTTAATTTGGCTTTTCAATGATTTAAAACATGCATGTTTCAGAATGGACAGTACAAAACGGGACGTATTCAGAAAGGGGCAGCTTCTACCCAGCCGCTTCCCCAGCACTCCTCCCTCCTGCTAGCCACACGCGCATGTGCGCACGCACACGCACGCACACGCACTCACACGCACGCACACGCACGCCCCCCCCGTTCTTGCATAGAAGGTCGTATTCCGTATGCGTGTTTTGCACCTCACTTTCCTCATTCAAAGCAAACACCCTAAAGATCTTCCGCAGTGTGTGGAGGTCTTTCTCACTTCTTTTCCTTCTTTTTCTTGGACTGCTGCGTCTGCTCTCAATACACTTGGTTCTGTCATCATGTTCTCCACTCTTTATTGTTATAAATAATGTTACACGATGGCCTTCTGTGTGTGTCATTTCACGCATATGAAATGTGCTCTTCTCTCTGAGTATGGTTCCAAGAAATAGTATGATAGCGTGGCGAAAGGGGAAATGGATTTTTGTAATTTAACATTTTTTCACGTTGAAAATTTGATAGAGTGTCGCTATGATAATTGCTCTTTCCAGGGGTTTAGCATTTTAGCTGTGCTTTGATTATTGACTCTGTGTTTTATGATGGTCCATCAGATATTTTATCAGCAAAGTCATATCATGTTCTTTTCGAGAATTTACTTTTGTTATTAAAACATGAATTAAAGGTAAAAAATGATCAGTGTAGTCTTTCTAAAATAAAGCACAATTAGTATTAAACTACTAGACAAGCACACCAAATAGGAGATTAGTGAGTAAATAGAAAATGACTTCGATCTTTTTAATAAACTCATTTCGTGAATCAAATAAAGGCTTCTAAGGATTTCCGTTTATGGGACTCTAGATATGTCACTTCCGGATCCCGTCGTGCCATGGAATTTTGGTTCGTGAGCACCTGTAACTCAGGAGTTTTCTTCTCTAATTCTAAGGCTCGTGTTTCATTCGAACTGATCAACTCGACGGGGAGACGGACTGGAAGCTGAAGGTGGCGGTGAGCTGCACGCAGAGGCTGCCGGCCCTGGGGGTGAGCACCGTTGTCCTCACGCTTAGCGATCGTTTCCGTGCAGTGAGCGCATTTCTGTTTACACAAATTAACTTACTTAATGCACTGACAGTTTTAAAAAATAATTTCTTTATTACTAATGGAGGATCCTTAAAAATTATGCCAGAATGAGTGCTGTGGTGTCTTAGCACGTAACCCGTTTTAGGTGTCGTTTCAGGAGCCCCTCTCGGCCTGACACCGAGCTTTTCTTGCTTTTCTTCCCCTTTCCTTTTTGTTTTTCTTTTTAAATCCTCTCGGTTGTGTAATCTTTAAAATGGAGAACTGGCGAGGGTTAGATGAGTCCCTAACCGACTTGACTTGCTCCCTAGGAGGCTCCTCCAGACACTGCTTTGAAACCGGTTCAGACTGCCCCGCCCCGCCCCGCCCCGGAGACCCACCTGTGCACAGCCTTGCCCTTGACCCTTAGGAGGGAGTGGAGTGTTACTGCGTCTCCTGGAGTCGGGGTGGACGCTCCGGCCTCTGGTTTGGCCTGTGCTGAGTTTTCTCTGCCCCTGGGGAATAGGGTGGAGGTGGCGTGAGAGGGAGCAGGGCTCCTGGGCTTCGTGTCCTCAGCGATCTGCAAGACAGACCCCCAAATGCCGAGACTCTCCTCGCCTGGGACACACCTTTTTTAAAAAAACAAAACCGCAGTTGTGGCCATTTAGTGTTTATTTTGTGTCACAGGTAGTATTTATCCGAATGAGAGAAACTTCATTTTATATGATTTGCTGATAATTCAGTGGAGAGTAAAGAAAGATTGGCGTTGTCTCAGAACGACCTTTGACCCATGCGGTTGTTAGTTAAGGAGGGTGTTTGGGTACCATGGGTCTGGCCACTTCCCATAGGTGGGTCGGCTTCGGATAGGACAGGAGTGACCGCCGCTGCCGCCTGCGTGCCTCACTTAGCGCCTCGGCTGCGGGCCCGCCCTCCTGTGTGCTGGGCCGTCAGAAGCTGTTCGGCTCTGTAAGACCTGGAGACATTTTGACTCTTTGGGTGTTTTCGGTTTCCTGTGCTTTAGGCAGTCCTGGGTTTAAAATTCATCTTGTTTTATACATCTTCTCTAAAATCTGTCGGTCATTGATGAGAGTTTGATTATTCTTCCCTTTGTCCCCTTATTTATTATCAGATAATAATGTCCACGTAACATGTCTGTCCCAGGGTCACCGTTGTATCTCTCCTCCTCCCCCGCTTTTTGCAACCCTTTAAAAAATCTTTTTTAAAAAGCATTCTTACCCCCAAGGGACATACAGAACAGGGTGCAGGTTGCTAGATTTAAACCACGGGCCGTCACCATGGTCCCCTTCTCAGACACAAATACTCGAATATCTCCTGTTTTATGTTAGTGCATCTCTAGTCTCCATCAGTCCTCAGGTCAGAAGTTGTTTTTGAAAATTGCCCAAACTGCTGTTCTGGGCCCAGTAGCCCAGTAGCACACCAGTCAGGTAATTGGTTTTCCTGTGTTCTCTGCTGGTTTAGTTAAAGTCTGTAGAATATTATGTATAATTTATGTGGTCTGGGTTAAAGCGCAGGAGGGAAGGGAGAACTTGCTGGACCAGCTAAGGAAGGGAAGAGAAGTCGGTTTTGATGGTGACTCTTTCTCACTGACCAGCTCACCTTTGCCCCTTCACGGGGCAGGGACACCTGGCAGCTAGTAAGTCATTCAGTCCCAAGTCAGGAATGCAGCACCTCTTCACACGGAGTGTCGGGAAACTGCACCCTGCTTTCCAGAATGGCTGCACCCCTAAACGTTCCACCAGCATTGGGCGAGGGGCGCAGTCTCTCCACACCTCGCCAACTTTTGGTGTTATTTTTTATTTTTGTCATTTCGATAAGTGTGTAGGGATGTCTAGTTTTCATTTTCCATAATGGCTAATAATGCCGAACATTGTTTCTTGTGCGTGAGTACCATCTTTGTATCCTCTTTGATGAAATAAATCTGTTCGTGTCTTCGTGGTGGCTTTTGTGCGATACCCTAGGACGCTCTAAAAAATCCTCCACAGTCAGGCACGTGCAGAGAAGGCGGTTAGCTCCCTGCTTCCGCCTGTGCAGCTCCCCTTCATTTCACTTGCGGTATTGCATTGGCGGACATCGCTAATGCTGTGTTGGTCTGTGCTGCATTGGATTTTTCAAAGACCTTTCTGTTTCTGCTGTGAGGACGGTATAGTTTTCTCCATCGACTGTTAATCTTATCACTCTCATGGCCTGACCGTGTTCCGGCCTTGTATTCCCAGGATCAGCCAAACCCCCTCTGCTCATGCGCAGTGTCCTTTTCATGTCCTGCAGTGTTCGATTTGCTGATAGTTTGTGAAGGATTTTTTGTGCCTATGTTCATGAGGGATATTTGTCTGTATTGTGTGTGTTGTAATGTCTTTGGTTTGATATGTAGGGGGATGCTGGCCTCGTTAAATGAGTGGAGAAGTTTTTTTGCCTCCTGGGTTTTTTTGAAGTACTTGGTATTGGAGTGATGTATTTCTTTTTTAAATATTAAACAAATACACATTCGAAACCAAGGGAGTTTACTTTGTGGGAAAGTATTTAATTGTGAATTACCTTTCTGAATTGGATAATAGAGTTAATCAAATTTTATGTTCATTGGGAATTTATGGTTTTCAATGAATTTATCCATTTCATATAAGTTGCCAAATTTAATGGCATAAAATCCACATTTGATTATTATTTTTAGTGGCTGTAGGTCTCCTCTTTCATTTTCAATATTGGTAGTCTCTGTCTCTCTCTCTGTCTCTCTGTCTCTCTGTCTCTCTGTCTCTCTGTCTCTCTGTCTCTCTGTCTCTCTGTCTCTCTCTCTCTCTCGTCAGTCTAGCCAGATCTTCATCAGTTTTAGTGATCATTTCAAAAAACTTGCATTTGGTTTCGGATTGATTGTATGGTCATTTTTTGTGTTACTGATTTTTGTTCTAATCTTCATTTCCTTCATTCTACTTAGTGTTTAATTTTCCTTTCTTGCTTAATTTCTTAAAGTAGAAGTTAGGCTCTTGACTACACCTCACTCTTCTCTGTTATAAACTTTGAGAGCTATAAATCTCCTTTAAGCATTACCCAGCCTGTATCACACCAATTTTTATGTACTGCGTTTTCATCGTCATTTCGTTAGAAATGTTTTCTGATTTCTTTATGAGTTCCTTTTTCACTCTTCATTTACTTGGAAATATATTGTTTATTTACCAGATAGTTGGGGGTTTTCCTGTCTTTTATAATTTATTTGTCGTTTAATTCTGTTATGTGCACAGAGTGTGTTTAGTTCTCTGTCAGCCCTTCCACAGGCACCGACGTGTGACCTGACCTCGCACATGGTCCCTCTGAGCCAGTGTTCCATGAGCCGGTATTTCACACGTTCTTCAAAAAACCCTTTCGTGCGCCGTCTCCTGTTCCTTAAGACACCTGGCTTACAGTTCCCGGACCATTTGTTTAAATGAGTTAGTTTTTCTCGTGAGACATTCTGCAGCCTGTTGACTCTAACAGAATCTGAGCCGATCGTTGGGTAGGTGCTTCTATTGCTCGGTTTGTGGGTTTTTTTTCTTTCTTTGTTTTGTTTTGTTTTGTTTTGTTAGCAAGAATCCCCAGTCTCTTCAGGTTAAAGGGGGAGGTAAGCATCACACATCTTAAGTGACTGGGAGGCTGTGTGTGCCATCATGCTTGGATGGTGGCCCTGCCTCTGCGTCTCGCCCTCTGAACCTCACTTCCAAGACTTCTGGCGTCGCCGGACTGGACGCCAGAAACAGCGGCACTGAAGAACCGTTGGTAGTCGGTTTAGTTTTGCTGAGGGTGGTAGAAAAGAAAGTGCGGAGTTAAAACACTCTGCTAGAAAGAATTTGTCGGAAAGAGGAGCAGACACAAAGCAGACGGACGGAGCGCGCGGTGCACGCCCGCTTACCGCGTGCAGGGCTGTGAGAGTTTCTTTCATTTTTATAGTGACAGGTGTCTGAATTTCCAAGTTATTTACAAAGTTATAGTTTACTGGTCATCTCATGCTAATTTAAAATTTTTATGGTTGATACATTTTGATAGGATATGTGATTAAGCATTTGGATTGAGTAACTGTATGGTAAATGAAAATCCTTTAACCAGTAAAACAAAAAGCAGTATATGTGTGTGTGTGTGTGTGTGTGTGTGTGTGTGTGTGTGTGTGTGTATATATTGGTGGGTGGGTGTGTGTATATTTATTTATTTATTTATTTAAAGGAAACTTTAACTGAATTTCTGATTCTTCAATCAAATTAAATTTGCAGCTTCGTGTAATTTGACATTTTTCGTATAGATTTTTTTTTTTCATAGAAAATAAAGCTCTGGTTTCATTATGGATACAAGCAAGGCAATTTGGTTTTTCATTTAATAGCTTATGCTGCCCATAACTGTCACTCATTTTGACTTTTCTGTCTAATGTAATGGATTTGGGGAACATTTGGTGTCATTCACTGTTTGTGACATTATCAGTTGAGCATTGTGTCCATCATGACACCGAGAATAAGTAAACCCGCAGACCTTAGAGCTTTTGTAAGGAACTGAGGACACCGTCAAGAATAACGTGTCCGGTTCTGCCGTGTGCCCGGAGCACCGGCTGTGACCGGAGCACGGACATTGCCACGAGCCCTTAGGGAGGCCGTGCCGCAGGCCTGCGTCGCGAGCTCGCTCCTTGCTGCTGCACAGCCGTCGGAAGGCATGCGTGCCAGGCACCGCAGACATTTGGGAAATATGTTTCTGGCTTTTGTGATCAGGCAAATTTATGAACAACAATGAGGTCACAGTAATTTTCAATAAATCATGACTTGCTGATTTATTTCAAAAGATCCATATAGCAGTAAACAATACCATTTACATTTAATTAGTTTTATTGAACGAAAAGCAATTTTATTTGTAATGAACCACATGTTATGATTAAGGATGTATTTTAATGACCTTTAAGTAATGCGAACAAATGTTGCCCTTGACCTAATAGCAGAGGCTTTCCTACATTATTGGAAACTTCAGAATGATTTTTAAATGATCATGAAAAGCTCCAACGACATTCTCATTATTCTGCCATCATTCAGTCGTTTGATGTGTAATATACCGGATGGAACGCGTCCCTCTAGGGTCCGTCTGCGTGCGGAAACGAGGGCTGTTCGAGCGCGGTCTCCGTCTCTGTGTCTCAAAGGTGCCTTATATGAGCGTTGCATTTTCGAAAGTTATTTGACAGTGTGACACTTAAATGATGAGTGATTCTCAGAAGTTGCCTTGTCTCAGGAGTCCTTGGGCTGCTTGTTAAACATTCTAGTCTTATTTTCAAAAGTCTAAAATTACTATACAGTGTATTTCTTCTTGTGTAAACGAGCTTGACTTAATTAACTTAAATTTTTGTGAGTTAGCAAACAGTGTCCACTGCGACAGCAGACCCAGCGGTGGGCGGGGGCATCACGCTTCATCTAGAGTAGCATCTCTGTTCTCTAGAAACTCGAAAGCCGTCAGGTATATTTTCCAGGCCCCTGGGACGTACGCGATGTGCCTTCCCAGCTTCAGTGAACTGTCAGAGTTTGCGAGTCGGGAACAAGGATGGCATCTTTCTACCCGTTGGTTCTCCACTGGCAGGTGTCTGTGGGACCTGGGTGCGGTCACCGTGCAGGCAGCGTCCTCCACACCCTCCAGCCACAGCTCCGCATTCTGCACCCGCCGCCGGTCTGACGTGTGTCCGTGAGGCTGTCGCTGCGTTCAGCGTGGCATGGCGCACGCCGCCGTCGTAGCAGCCCTGTTAGAGCGGGTCGGGTCCAGCGCAGAGTCGCAGCCAGCATTTGGGACCCGCGAGTCCAGCCTTCCAAGCAATGAGACTTGCAGGCTGTGCCCCAAGAGCTCCGCCCGCACGTGGCAGCTGCCCCGCGCCCGGGACGGCTCGCGAGCAGTCCAGGCGGGGCACGGCCGGCGGCGTCCAAGCACCGTGGCGCGCTGAGGCCATGGCGTGGGCTCGGGACAGACCGGGGTGCTCGACCCTGTTCTGAAGCCCGGCGCTGTCGCCTTGCCGTGCTGGGGGCTACGTCGGGCGGCGCCTCTTCTCAAGGTGGCTGCTTCCCTCTCCCTCCCTTAGTTCTTCAGGAGTCACAAGTTTGCCACATCAGACCCACAGTCACACTATAGGATGTTCCTTAAATTTAGAAGTCACATTTTGACTCTCATCGAGAGTCTGCAGACTGCTCTTGACACTCATTGGCGACTCTGGCAGTGCCAATGAAACGGAGGAGGGACTCCCGTCCTCCTCGAGGGGACAGCAGCGTGCTGGGTCCTGTGCAGTCGAGAGGCAGGGGCCTGGGACAAAGACGGGCTGAAGTTCCATCACTCCTCATGTGTGGACCGGTGTCACTGTCCCACACAATGTCACCCCTGTGTAGAAGACAGATGGTTTTCACTGCTGTGTTGTATCTGTCCAGCTTCCTGATAGCCAGTTAGGAATAATTTTTTAGGATCAACTAAAACATCAATAATTAAAAGATTTTTAAGACTCTACCCTGAGAAGATATTCAAGTATAAATAATCTCTGTCTGTGGGTGTAATTTACCCAACATTACCTGAGTCCCCATGAATCGGTTCGGTCACTTTCCACCCACATTGTCACTTGCATAACTGAATTCAGGTGTGCCGCACACGTGTCCGCTTTGGACTTCTGTCTGAGAATGTCAAGTAGAAGCTGGTCCTTTTAGTACATGTGAGGCCGACGTGTAAAGTCACTCTTCCTGGGCTCTCCGGTGTGTAGCCCAGTCAGAATCCCACCTGGGTATGGTTTTGTCAAAGTCCAGACAGACAGGGATCTTTCGGTATTGTAAATTTTTTGTGACCTCCTGGTGAAAGTGATCATGTCTCATCAAAAAGTTGAAATTTATTGTTTGCTTGACATAACTCTGTTATGTTAATAAGACAAACTAAACTTTCTGGACCAATGAAGACACTTTTATAATTATCTTGAAGTAAGGTGCTGGAGACCTCATCTCTGGAGACCTGTTTAGACCCGACGTGCCATGGGCGTGTGGCGCGGCGGAAAGCACGCGCCTAGTCTGCTGCAGACCCGCTTCCGTGGAGTGGCTGCGGTGTGCGGGAAGGCGCAGCCTTCCCGCGGTTTTATGACTGTGGTCACGGGGCTGTGATCCCGCACACAGGAGACGTGGCTCCAGGGAAGGCGACAGTGTATGACAGCTGAGGGGGCCACTGGGAGAAGCGCGGGCACAGGTGTCGGTATTCACCAGGCGCTTTGTAAAGCTCAGACCCCGCCAGGGCTGGAGCACTGTGGGTCTCATAGGACTGCCAAATGCTCATGCGCAGCCTCTGCCTCGAGAGCCGGAGTCGTGGGGCCTCCCAGGTCGCAGAGACGGCACCCTCGCCTCTCGGTGCTTTGACAGGCGTCTGCAGAGTCAGCGACACCACCACCTGCTGAGCTGAAAGATGGTTTGTTTTATCTTCCGTCTGAACTCATAATGTGGGCACACAGAATATAAGAAAACCATCACCTTTGGTAAATAGTATGTAAAAGTATTAACGGGTAATTGAAAAATGTTTAAGAAATTTTAATTATAAGTAATTAATTTAGATATTCTGTATTCCAGGATCTTTTTTCTATCAGTGCTTATGTTCATGCTCAGAAGCCACAACTGGATATTCACAGTTTTGAAGGCACATTTACCAGGGTAAGTCACACCTTTTGTTAAATACAAACATAGTCATTGTGTATATAAATTAAAAATAGCAAACCTTTATTTTGAAAGAGTAATTAAATCAAGAATAAATTGAAATTGAAATTCAGGACTAAAAAGGAAAAACCTAGAAAACATTTCAAGTTCTTACATTTTCCTTTATCAGGTATGTCTTTGGGATACTTTCAGAGAACATTTGTCCTGTTTTAGCGTAGTTACACTTGAGAAGATCCTTCTCCTTTAAAATGTTATCAGTCCGCAAAATGAAGTAATTCAGCTGTTTCGGTTTTGGCTTTGGATAATGGTCAATCTTCAACGATAACCCCATCGTTTCTTGATTTTTATTAGCGGGGTAGGTGTGTCTGTCTGTCTGTCCGTCTCCTTCCATGCACATGTATGTTTCATTCTCTGTTGTTTTCATTATCATGGTGTTTTGGCACAGCTCGAAGTCCCCTCTTCCACCAGCTGCTCAGTGGGACCCGGAGGACTAAGCGACTTCCGATTTCGGCAGCTTGTCCGATATCATACATGCTTTGTCCCACTGAATGGCTGCTCCTGTGTGACTGTGCTTTATGTCCAGCCGCCGCAGCGGCTGGACAAGGTTTCTGCTGGTGCGGCCGACGCCGTTTCAGTCTCGGTCACACGGGGCGCAAAGCTTGGGGATGCAAAAGTATGGGCGTCACCTGGTGACTCTGTGCTCCGGTGAGAGCACGTGCAAGACAGGCGTTCGCGGACACAGAGGGACATGTCCTGGGGATAAGTTCCTTGTAACAAGTTCTGAAGAAAACTAAGGTCTGTCTGTGTTTTTGTAAAAATGTTTATGAGAAAAGCATGTTCCTATTAAAGACAATTGAGCATACATGAGAAAAAAATCTTACAAAAAGGCACCCTGGGCCCCATCAATTGAGAGTGATTACCTGAACCACTGTTAACATTCCGGGGCATTACTGGCTTTTTTCCCATTCCGCAGGGTCATAGTGCTTGTCACTCGCTAAAAGCTAGAGCCGTTGGCTAGACGACGTGCGGGAGCACACGGGTCGGCGTGGGAGCGAGCGAGCGAGTGAGAAGCATGGCTGGAAGCCCAAGGCCGCGAAGCCGGGTCGCGGGCGCAGGCCGCTGAGCCCGTCACTGAGTGCGCCTGACGGTTCTTGAGTGTGCGTGTGAGTGTGTGCGTGTCACTGAGTATGTGCGTGTGTATCTCCGTGAGTGTGTGACCTAGTAAGTGACTGGCACTGAGCGTATGCCAGAGTGTGTGCGACAGTGTGTGTACCACAGAGTGTGTGCAGCTGAGTGTGTGACCGTGTGCCATGATGTGTGTGACTGAGCACGTGGGCTCACGTATGTGACTGAGGACACGGACGTGGGCTGGGGGGATGACCGGTCTGAAGGTCTTGTTGAGAGAAGGAAGGAGCCACGTAAGGGTTTTCAGAAGAAATGATGACATCGGTGTTTGTGAAAGATTTCTCTACACTTCCTGGCTCCCTTGGGGCTTTGGCGGTCCCCCGGGTTTCTTTATGGCCCCACAGCCTCCCCAAACCCTGCAGGCAACTGCGAGAGTGACAGGACCCTGGAGCTCATGCATGCGGCAGGCACGTGAGAGAGAACATGCTGCCAAGCACAGTTACCCCAAGTGGGGCAGGCGCCTCAATGGTGCGGGCAGCCCAGGCCAGGAGAGTGCAGGGGCAGCGCTTGCCCAGGGTTCTGACTCCCGGGCGTTTGCGGTGACTTACGACGTGTTCACCTGGGCAGGTCGCAGCGCGTCCTTCCTGTGATTCAAGCGCATGGCCTTCCGCGGCCTCCATTTCGCGTACCTGGCCAGGTTTTGTTTACACTCCTTTTAAATAGATCGGTCTTGAGTTCTGAATTACTCAATGGACAATCTATTTTTGTGTTTAATTTGCAAAAAAGAAGAACAAAAATGTGCTAATAACCAGTTTTGTAACTGGAAAGTGAAATTTAGTTTAGTTACTGAAATATCAACTGAACCTTTTAAAAAGTGGTATCTGCCTATGTCTTTTTTTATCGAGTAAGGTATATAGTGTATGAAGGAGAAAACATATGTTTATTTTTTATCGGTCTAAATGGTTAAATAAGAATCAGAACAAATTAATTCAATAGACATGTCATGGTTTTTGTGGCCTGTGCAGAGTCTAACATACATATGCACACTGTGAATAACTTCTGCTTCGACTTACCTTAGAACAGTGTCTGAGGAACCTAACTTGCTGACTAGTCACTATGACATTTTGTTCTATATAAATGATTCATATTAGTATTGATACTAATTTTGCTTATTGTTCAAGACATGCTGTTCTCTCTGAGGCCTGGAGTTTAAAACTGTAGCCAGTTTTGAACATCGTAGTCACATTTAATCTTTTTTATGATGCATTTTTCTGCTTCATTTCTTTGCAAACCATAGCACACTTATCACTGTGCTTTTCCAATCAAAATGCTCTCCTGTTAAAAAGCAAGTCTCTTTTGTTTTTAAAATAGGATATACTATTGAGAAGACAGCTTGAAATTGTAACATTTTGCATTCTCCCGCCTCAAGGCAAATTTGATCTTTTGAAACTACAGGAGAAGGGAACCCAAAGGGGAAGTTTGGAGACGGTTTCTTGCCCATCTCCCCAGCCCTTGCCCTGTGCTCTGCGAGCCTGGCAAGGAGCCGTCTTTCAGTAGTTCTCCCGCTGGGACAAGAGCGCTGGCTGTGGGAAGCCCGTCCCTGCTGTCGCGGAACCGAAAGGGCCCTGCACAGGCAGCATGCGCCCCTCAACACGTAGCCGTGGGAGGTGGGCGCCAGAGTGACGGGAGAGCCAGCCGCTGTCTCCGTGCTAAGCGGCGGGACCTTTCATTCACAGCTCAGAAAGCCTTAAACCATCCTTATCATTTTTAATGCCGTCGTTTCTCTTGGAGTGTGACACAGTGTGAAAATACTAAAAGATACATATGCCTGTGTTGATCATTTTTAAATTTCTGTATTAGGGGAACCATGGGAGAGTTTCAAACTAAGAAAATCATACCCGTTTGTGCTTTTGCGGTCGGTCTGTTGGTGGTGGGCAGCTGCAGGCGGAGTGTTCTACGGGAGCCCCGAGACATGTGTGGCAGAGGCGGGGTGGCCCAGGACAGACACAGGCTGCTACGGCAAGGCGCGAGGGGCGTCAAGGAGAGCCCACACGCGTTCGTTCTCAGTTCGCTCACTGCCAGACACGTTTGAGCACCTGCTCTGTGCTAGGCGCTCCCAAGGCCAAGGTCAGCCACAAACACACAGCTCACAGCCTGGGGTAGACAGACACAGGGATCACTGTGACACAGCGATCCAGAATTCGCGTTAGAGAATAATTTTGTTTCGCACCTTAAATAATAAATGCACGCATCAGCAGTTGTCGGGATTCATCCCCCGTACGTGCTCAGTTTGCTGGGTCGCGGCTGGGACCGCGGGGCTGACCTGCCTCCGGCGCCGCATGGAGCGCACCCGCAGTCCGCCAGGCCTGCGTCGTCCTCTCAGCTCGTGACTTTCTTCTGCTGTCTGCGGGCTTCCTGTCTCTGCAGTCATGCTTTTGTTTCGTGCAAGTACCCTTTACTTTCTCCACATCTTCATTTCCTTGAACATCTTCAACCTTTTTCTCTTAAAGTCTTTGTCTAGTATATCTGCCGTCAGGCCTTTTTCAGGCAAGGTTTCTGTTGATTTGTATTTTGCTTTAAATGGACCATACTTTTCTGTTTCTTTCTATGTCTTGTTATTTTTTGTTGAACACTGGGCATTTAAATATAGTAAGGTGGTAACTCTAGAAGTCAAATTCTTCTCCTTCCTCAGACTTTGCTGGGTTTTTGTCATTGTTTTGTTGTTGCTGTTGTAGGCTCCAGCTTTGCTGAGGATCAGCCTGAGGTGTAAACGTAAGGTTGTCTGAAGTCTTTTCTGAGCCGTTCCTGGGTCAAGTGTACTCAGTTTTTCTCCATACGTGAAGTTGTATTTTAACATCATAGTCTTTAATGTCTGGCTCCCAAAAGGAGAAAAACGAAGGGGCTGTAAGGGCATTTCCGCTTCGAATCTCCTGGAAGTCCGTGAACTGGAGCGGGAGGGGCTCGCTATAGCGGGGGTGGTGCAGCAGCAAGGGCTGCCCACCTCTAGGCCTGCACCTCTGTGACCAGAAGCAGTCATCAGCCATCAGAGCACAGACCCTCAATATTTGGGGGGAGGGGGGTTCTCTTTGTCCGCCATGCTTCCCACAGTCTGTGTGCAAGGTGCTGCAGATGCCACAGCTGCCTGCCACACAGCTAGGGGTGGGGGCAGGGAGCTGTGCGTGCTGAGACCTGAAACCCACCCAGATTATCCAGAGTGACCAGCCACACCTTCCCCGGGAAGTGGCTGGCCTTCAGCAGATTTCAGAGTTCCATAATAGCTCCAGCAGGCAGATTCTGCCCCTGGGGTGGCGTCCGGGTGGGAGGGATGCCTGCTGCTCCCTGCTCCCCGGCCTCCCAGCACCCTCTGTCTAGATGCCTTGTTTGTCACCCCTGTTTCGCAGTGCCTTCTCCTGCTGGTCAGTGCATCCAGCTTGCGGACCTCTTAACGCAGTGGACATCTGATGCACCAGTAATAAAAACCTGGTAACTTGCTGTCCTCCTTTTGTCCCCGTGCACAGGATGACAGTGACCCGCCCGTGCATGAAAGTCTCAGCATAGAAAACACCTTGTGGGCAAGCACCGTCGTTGCATCGGGTGAGTAGCAAGCTGTGCTTTTAGAGCGAATGCTCACGTACAGGTGATGCTTTGTGTTTTGGGGTGATTCCAAACAAGTGTTTCTCAAAGTCCCTTGCATCACGTGGGGACCTTATAAATTGTCCTCTCCAGCTCAGCGGGCACGGACCAGCCCGGGGCGTGGCCTATGCTGGTCTCCCTGCTCTGCACTGTGGCTGCAAGGCCAGGAGCAGCTGTGGGTGGTAGCCCTGTGGCTGGCTGTGACACGTGTCCTTGACACACCTGTCAGTGTGCATTACCGAGGGGCTCAGCGGCACTGGGGAGCACACGGTGACCGTAGAGGCTTTTCGTCCCCGAGTCACATAGCAGAGTTCACAGAGGTCCGTGTGGCGGGCTGTCTCGGCGTGCTATGTGGGGCGGGGGCCTCGGGAGGCGGGCCCCTTAAGGGTGGGATGAAGGGTCGCCTTTTTTTTCTTTTTTCTTTTTGAGTAAAATCAGAGGATACTGGGGCATCCCTAGTGATTAGACAGGAGGCCACTTAAGTTGACGTTTCGGAAGGTGCATCTCTCTGGGAGGAGCAGACCATCTAAATGCTTGCCACCTTAGCTTGCTGAGGGCGCCGGGACAGAGCTTAGCAGCAGCATTAAGGACACCAGTGGGCACAGGGACACTAGGAGACATTCGGGGAGGGGGGGTCTCTCTTCTCAGCGTCTGCCCCAAGGCTGGCGGCCCTCCTCTCTAGAGCTCGCTCGCTCTCCTCACGGTGTTGTCTGGGACCCCTGCTCCAGAGCAGGCCCCAGTGACACAGTGTGGAACAAGTCCTGTGGGCCCCGTCCTCGGGAGCCATGGACAAGGAAGACGCTGCTAAAACGAGACAGGCAATGTCAGCTGTCCTGGGTCTCCCGGCGAAGTCCAGGACCCTGAAAACCAACAGGCCGAAAACGGCCCTGCTCGGGGGCTGCGGAGGAGACACCGCACCAGAGGCAGAGGGCTCGCGGCCATGAGCGGGGTGGCCGCGGGCCCTGGGCAGCACTGCAACAGCGCCAGCCGCTGGGCGAAGGCCTGGAAGGCCCGGTGCTGAGGGACCACGGGGCCGGAGACGGGCAGGGAGCTGGCGTGCCTGGCCCGGGGGCCGCTCCGCGTCAGGTGTGACACTGGCCTTGCAGCAGAAGCGGGGTGGCCTTTCAGGGTGGAGAGCGAAAGGCGGTTCATTTCGTCCTGACGTCTTCTCTCTTGAAAGAAAGCCGCTGGCAGCAGTGGCCATTTTGAGAGGGGGGACTCTGTGAGGTGCGTGATATTGTTTTTGTGCGGGTGGATGTTTATAGTTGGTTGGAATAAAAAGCGAGAGGAAACAAGGGTAGCCCGCCGCACGGAGACCTCGGGGGCCAGGCTCCGGCGTGTGGCCCTCAGAGGGCCCCGCGGCCACCACGGAGGGAGCCTCTGCAGCCAGCAGCAGACCTAGGGTTCGTCCTCACCCTTCCTCCATGTGACAGTCTTGTGTTCGCCTTGCTGATAGTCATGGGTCGCGTCCGCCTTCCCACAGCTTGGTGAGGGCTGTCCCCGTGAGCCTCAGCGGGCGGGCGAAGGACGGTGGCACTCGAGGCCTGCTGCACTGCCACACGGCCAGTCCGCGGTGGAGCCGGATGCGAACCCGGGCGTGCCGCCCTCCACGGCTGCACCTGTCACTGCTCCGCTTGGGAGTTTCTAGGAGGGTGTTCACGGGCCAGCATGCGCACGCTGGGACTCGGTGACACGCTTTGTGCTTTCTGTCTCTAGGTGCTGGATCCTGCTCTGTCTTCAGTGCACTGGGCTTATCCCTAATAAAGGGTCAGGTCGAGTTCATCTGTAGAGATACTCAGAGAGTCTCTTGTTCTGGCCACTTTGTTGGTCTTTGGGTCCCTGTGTGTTGGACAGGTGGCGCCGATCCCCACCACTGTTGGCTTGGGCCCTTCTCCTCAGAGGGACAGAGTCAGCCAGAGCCAAAGGCTCTGCATCCCCTACCCCTGTCCCCCCTGACCCCGTGAGCGTCCCCTCCCCCAGCGCAGTGGACTCCAGGCCCTGGGCAGTGGCGGCTCCTGGCCACGCGCTTTGGCCCACGGACGCGGTCAGGCGTTGCAGCCCACCTGCTACCCAAGGAGCCCGTCCTACCCCCTCGGCACGCCGAGCTCAGTTCTAAGTGCTTAGCTTGCCTTGAAACCAGCCTTTCCAAACTTCGGACCTTTTTAAAGGCCTTTTTCATTAATTTCGAATCTTTTGACACGTACTTATCTTTATTTACAAACCTTGTTGACGTCAGCAGTCCCTGGACTCTGTGCTAGCACACGCCAGCTGTGCGGGGCACGGAGGGGTACAGGCTCCCGGCAGCAGCGGGGGCGCCGAGCCCCCTTAGGCCCGACGCAAGTCGGGAGAGGAAGGTCAGAAGTTTTGTTCTTATTCTTTAAAAGTTACGTGTCACGTGGATTCAAGGTGCCTCATGGGGTGGGGGGGTGAACTCCAGCCTGCCCTCATTGTGGGACCTGAAGCCTTGGGAGCGAGGGTCCAGTCACACACACCGCAGACAGACATGGAGACATGGGACACCGGAGGGGCAGGCACAGCTTCCTGTGCCACTGTGCCGCTTCCCCTCGTCCGTTTGGAGACCATCGTTTCTTCAGAGCAGAGTCAGGGTTCTGGAGAGTGGCAGGGGAAGGGGTGTTCTGGCCTTAAGAGGCTGAGACCCGGAGGTAGCGGGGAGCCGTGGCGAGGGCCCCTGTGGCCCGCACACGCGGAGGCGGCATGGTGTGGCAAGCGCAGAAGATGCGAGTGGTCGTTTGGAACCTGTTAGAGCAACTCAGGGCTAGAAAGCTGGAGGCGTGCGTTCCCTCCATTTGTTTGTGTTTCATACTGATCCTCTGTGAACTGACCGTTGGGGTACGTTACAGAACTGGGGCTCACAGCACAGTGACGGTCTTGACCTGGCCATGCACGTTTGCCAGGCCGGCTCGAGAGGAGCATTCACGATCTTGGGTGGGGTGCCAAGAGGCCAGGACCACCCCGGAGGGACCTCTCAGAGCACGGGAACAAAAGCCCTTCTGGCTGAGCAGGCAGGGGACGTGGGAACAGCAAAGGACACACGCCAGCGTGGAGTACGTGACTCACAGCAGGGGGCGGGCGTTGCTGCTTCTCAAGCCTTCGTCTCGGGCAGTTTGGGGGGCAGGGGTGTGGGCCGGGGTCTATCCGTCACTCTGTTGTCTGAGGCCTTCCCCAGTGGCACGGTTGGGGGAGCCCCAGTCTGCCGCACCCTCCCCCCTTCCTGCCACGCTCTGTGTGTGTTCGTGGCCTCGGTCTCCTGGTAACTCTGGGGACTAACGCGCCGTCTTCCTCAAGGGCTGTGGCTGCACCTGGCAGGGGTGCAGTGTTCACGGGTTCACGGCCAGCCCTGGCATCTGCGCTGCGAGGAGCTCTCATCCCCTTCCCATGGGTCCCCAGCACGCAGGATCCCTGTGTCCGCGGGCGGGCTGACATGGGCCCCAGGACCGCGGGCACTGGGAATTGTGGCCGAGGCCTGTGGCAGCCCAGCCGTAGTGCCCAGCGGTCTCCGCGCCCTGCATGGCGCTCCTCAGTGTGGAGCTGGGAGGCAGGAGAGTTTGGTTGGGTGATGGCGCTCAGCCTGTCTGTCTGTCTGTCTGTCTGTCTGCGACATATTGTCTTTCTCATAGTCTGTCTTTCTCAGTTCTGATGGACGTGTTGTTTTGTGGCCCTCTCTTACGTGCAGGTCGCAGGTCACCCTCTTCCCACATTTCTCTGTGCTGTGCATGCAGATTCTCTCAGCCTCTGGCCTGTAATACACACCCTCTGTCAGAGAGAAAGGGGACACGCCAGACGTGCTGGCCTCAGCGATTAAAACGCACGGCAGACTCAGACGTGGGCGCTGCTCTGGGTGCAGGGAGCACCCTTTCTAGCGAGAGGTAGATGAGGCGACTCGCAGGCGCTGCACGCACATTGCGTGAGGATTTCCGCTAGGTACTTCTTAAGTGTGGAGCATCTAGCACACCGATTTTGTTCCGTATGTGCCCCAGTGGAGTGTTTCTTGTTAGTCATTTCTCAGATTTCGTTCTGGATGCTTTACACTGCGCCGCCAGCCCGGAATCAGCATCACTAATAGTTCACCTGCATTTTAGGACAGCGGTTTCTAGCTTGATTAACTTATTGGTCTTCTCTGAGACTTGTTTGTTCTGCTAATGCTAAAAAAAGTTAATTTTGCAATTTGTCTTGTTCTATTTTTGTGCCAATTTAACATCGGCGTCGCTTTGTTTTGATTAACTTATTGATAAATTAGGAAAGTTTTTAAAGTATTATGTCATTGTGCATTTACTATTTTTCTATATACTAAGTACAGACATCACATCTAGAAAGTTTATTTGAATAATGATGTATAAAGACAGCACATGTGTGGTGGGGGTTAGCTTGTGTGCCAGACAGGGGCTGACTCTGCTTTTAAGAAGACAGCAATTCAAGCGTCACAGCTTTCCCAGAGGCACACGTTTCAGACAGGGGAGAAAAGGAAGTGATCATCCTGGAAAAAAAAAAAGTGTCCCCGTCTGCGAAGCCGCTGCAGAGCGGCGCTCCAGCGCCCCGTCTCCTGGACGTTCCTGGCGGAAGCGGTTCACGGAATGCGCTTGGTGTGCAGGGTTCACCCCACAGGTGCTTGGTCCGTGGGTTCTCCCTGACGCCCCCCTGAACTTCATACAGTAAACTAAGGTGACCCTAGTTGTTGATTTCAGTGAGTAGTACGGATGTGCGGTCTTTCTTACCCTCAAAATTTGCAAAAATTAGGGTTATAAATTATGCATACCTGCAGTTCCAGAAACAGACTTCCATGCTTTGTAATTTGACATCCTAGAGAGGAATTCTCTGAGCCTTTCTAACCGGTGGCTTGTTCTAGGGGTATTTTATTACTCTTTTGTCTTAAGTTTGATAGACCATTTCGTCGTGACGTGTACTGTTAGAAAACCAGACTTTCAGGAGATGTGAGCAAGAGAGAGTAACAACATCTGAACGCGAATCAAACGTTTCTGTAGCCTTCCTCTCTCCTTAATCGCGCACGTGCCAAAATGGGGGCGAAGGCCCTCGTGTCCGGCAGTGCTTCCTCCTTAGGGCAGAAAGATGCTCGTGGAGCCTCGTCGGGAGAAACTGGCTCAGCTGCTGCTGTCGTGGTTCGCAGGGCACGTGGACACTTGACCCGTTAAGAAGGCGGCCCCCTTAATTTAACTTCGGGGTTGGAGTGACCTACCGTTTTAGTGGACGTTGACGAATGAGCAATGTCACTCACTCTTCCTGTTTTCAGTGAAAAGAATGTCAGTACATACTATGTTATACGTAGGTAAATTTGTATTGCTTACGAAATCATTTGAGGTTTTCAAGGTTTATTTTAAAAGTTGAGATTAGGTTTTCTCGAACGAGTCAAATTAAATGTGCTGTTGGATAAAATTGTAAAACATTAAGTGTAATGCTACTTCCATCAGAATGATTGATTAGAAAGCGTTATCTCTGTGCTCACCCTTTAAAGTATCTCTGTAAGGACCGCTTTCGTGTTTTGCAGGTACTGTAATAGGTGTTGTCATTTATACTGGAAAAGAGACTCGAAGTGTACTGAACACATCCAACCCAAACAATAAGGTAGGCTAGATTAAGGGCGGCCGCTGCGATGACCTTGCTTCTTCCTTTCCTTTCTGTAAGAACGTACATGTAGTTCCGAATAGCGCCTTAACTTTAGCTTGATATATAACGTAAAAACAGACTTTCAAAAATGCTGGTGGTTTGGGATATGATTTTTCTGTATTTTTGTAACAACATGCTTATACGGAAGAATTTCCAAAGTATCTTTTCTTGGTTAATCAGAGTTTTATATGTCTCTTAAATTTTCATTGTTGAATATATAATTTCCCTATAATTTGACAGTTAATTGTGGGTTTCTTAATTTCTCTACAATCTATTTTACAGTTTGCACTCTATGTTGATGGTTCATTTTTAAGATAAAGAAATCTGTATTAATGTTTTTATAGTATTTAATTTAATAGTGTTATATTGTTAAACTAGTTTTATTTATTTCCATTTTAGAAGTATATTAAAAACCAGATTTTAATTTTAAAGACTGCTCGATTATATTTCTAAGCTGATTACGTTCCTGTCATATCCCTAAAATTGTTACTTATGCAGTCAACATGTGTACGTAAGTGAAATCATAATAAAAAGGGGGTCGGTCAGAGTTACTTATGCGACCGACCTCCAGTGGATGACCACAGTTAACTCTGGCCCTGGAGGGTGACTGCAGGTCACCGTCTGAGTAAGCCACTAGCCAGCCTGTTGACCCCGGGCAAGTGGCTTAACCCTGAGTCTGACTACTCAGTAGTTGTTACCCATTGTCGTCTTTCTACGAAGTGAAATGCGATGTGTGAACGGAGGCCATGGTTCTTGAGCCCTCGCTGCCAGGGCAGCTGTCCCCACCGAGAGGGGTGCGCCGTGGGGTGCGAGTGGCCCGGGTCTGGTTTCTGCCCCCCACTCCAGGGGCAGCCCCCACCCTCGCCCTCCCGGGTTGCCCCCCTCAGCCTCCCACACCTGCCCTCTTCTGCCTCCTGCCCCTTCTCTTTCTCTCCCTGTTTTTTAAACAGCCTCTAGACTTCCTCGCTGTCTGCAGGACGTGTCCTACAGTAGCAGGCACCTTCAGGGTTTGTCTGCTGCTTCTCTGTCGGTCTCACACACGGAGCAAATGTCCTCCACTGGCCGGTGCCATCATGGTGCTCAGTCAGCGGTTCAATGTCCCCCTTCCGGAAGGAAATGGTGGCAGCAGTGCCCTGCTACGTGCTTGATGTGCAGCAGGTTCCGCACCCACAGGACAGCCCGCGGGGGACACGCTGCCGTCTGTCTTAGGGCGGGGAGATGGCGGTGCCGGAGGCAGCAGCTGCCAGCGGGGTTCTTGCTCCTCCCTGAGGGGCTGAGCGCCGTGGAGGTCCACCTTGGCGTGGAGAGCTTTTCGTACAGTGAGGAGAGAGAGGAACTCTCCAAATGTGCACACGTCATGAACTGTTAAACGTCATTTATAGGAATAAAAGTCAAGGGAAGGTTACAAGCACGCTGCGAGGGCCAGAGGGACCGTGCAGTCCCCTGGGAGTGCCGGCGCAGGCGGAGCGGGAGGGGCAGGGAGGACGAGATCGCTGTCCACCATCACGGGACGTTGCCACCGGGAGGCTGCACATCACTGTCCCCGCACGGCTCAGGCTTCAGAGCAGGCCGGTGGGGATGAGACGTGAACACGTGGCAGGGAAGCGCGTCGCGCACCCGGGTCCCGCCGGAGCGTTCCGGGGCAAGCCTGTCCCGGTCCCCAGCCGGACTGCCGTCGTACGCGTGGGGCGGACGCGAGGGCGCTGACTGACGGGTCCGGGGGTCAGGGCCATTTCGCTGTGGAGTCCATTGTCGGCGGAGCAGTACGGGCTGAAAATACGTATTTCCGAGTGAGCCCCGTGTCTGTCGTGCCGCGGTGCGGGGGGCCCTAAGCCACAGCGGTCTCCTCTCTGCTCCTGTCCGGCGTGTCGGCAGGGGCTCTGCTCATCACGGTCCCCCAGGGACCCTCTGGAAACACGCGGCCCTGACCACTGGACAAGAAGAAACGGCCATGGCAGCGTCCACACTGACCCCGTGTGCGGCTTCTGCCAGCGAGCGAGGAGGGCGCCCTCCCTCAGCCACAGCGATTCGGCGACGATTCAGGTGACGGACTCAGGAAGTCTAGCCCTGCCCGCAGCAGGAGGAGGGCGGACAGGAGCACTGCACAGCGACCGCCATGCGTGTCCTTCCCCACGGCCAGAGGAGAGGGGGTCTCAGGGACCCCGAAGCCAGAGGCGAAGGCGCGGGGCAGAGGGAGGCAGCCGGGGAGGAGCGGGGAGGAGGCGCTTCTCCGCGCCTGGGGGCCAGTGGCGGCTGGTGCCGTGCGGGTGACGGGTGACGGGGCGAGGGCAGTGGGGAGGGTCTCGGACTTGGCCATCAGGAGAGCACGGGTGAGCTGAATGTCGCCATCACGGATTCATTCGGGTCCATTCAGGTGCAGGGGCAGGAGGGCCCTTCAGGAGGCCGTGGGGGACGAAGGGTGTGTGTCCCGGGCACTGCGGCCAGGGTGAGGGGCGAAGGCGGAGCCCTGTCACCCTGTCGCCCTGTCAGGCAGGTGCCTGGGGCGCCAGAGAGGCGGTGGTGATAAAAACGGCCAACTGTGCTGCGGAAAAGGGTCGTATTGATTTTGTTTGTTGGTGGTGAGAAAATCAATAGCACAAAACTATTAATGCTCTCAATGGCAGAGCGAGGGTCTTCGTTTATAAAGAAGAAAACGTGTTCCATGGAACGATAAGTTTCATGGGCATCCAGTAGTAACCTAAGTGTATAAGCAGGATCACGTAAAAGGAAATGGTATATTGTTATCTGGAGAATAGCTACTGTATAAAATACGGCATGGCTTCTTCGATTTATATGAAATATTTACAGTCATCGATCGGTCAGCCAGTCGGTGTCCTTCTCCCCGCCCTCCTTGCCCCTCCCCCTCCTTCTCACTCCGTATTTTTCATTTATCTGCCACTTGCATTGTAGCGTATGTAATAGGAACATGCAGATTTGTAGAATTGCTTTCAGTTCCTAGGACATAAAATGCTACCGTAAGAGCAGTGCTGATTTAAGAGAAAAAAATTAGTGACCAGCCTTGGTGGCCGTGACATCGACGTAGGGTGTGGTAAGAGTCCGGCGCTCCTATAGCCCAGAGGGTCCGAGCCCAGCAGGTCCAGCTCGTGAAGGGCCCCGCGGCTGCGACCTCCAGTTTGGGACGGAGCCAGTGCAGTTTTCTGAGGCCGATTTTCTGGAGCCCCAAAGCAGAAGCAAAGATACAACTGTCCAAAGTGGCAGACGGCCACGTCGGGTGTGACAGAGGGGTAGAGGTATGTACCGCCATGGCGATGTAAACGCCTACCGTGAAGGCGGCCAGCCAGGTCGTGGCAGCAGAGGGCCCTACGGTTACGATATTAGAT